CTTTCCCTGCATCCCTTAAGGAGTCCTGTAAGGTGGTAGGCAATAACTCCTGTTAGCTAGCTTGAGTTTCTGGGAAGGGAGTTTCCCTGTTGACTCCTCTTGGTGGGTTTCACATCAGGGACCATGCTGTAACCCATCTCCTTTGAAGGTCTGAAGGAGCAGCTGTGTCAGGCCACTCCCTTTGCACTGATCATGTCAGGAGGGTTCCTGCTCCTGCATTGCTCCTTTGATCCTTTCTCGGCCTTTGTTTGCAAAGATTAGCCTTTAATCAGATAACTTAAGAGACAGAAAGGGAAAATCAAATATTTAAGAAGAATGGGCAGCAAAACCAAAGAATAAAACCCTCACTGTGGTCTTCTGTACATCACAGCAACAGTGAGTTTGCATTTTGTGCGCTTGAGTGCAGTTTGGGTTCCAAAGGATACAATAAATCTAGGACACATGCAAAGAAAGTTGAGTGAATGGTCAGAGGTATGAAAGGGCTTGTGTAAATGGAGTGTTATATACCAGGACTCTTCATTCTGGAAACTAGCTGATTAAGTGGAGTGTGACAGTTCTCTAAAGTAATAAGTGACACTAAAAAGTGAGCAAGGAACAGCTGTTTCTTTCCAAAACAGACTAGAAAGCATCATTTGAAGGCACTGGTAGACCAGGCAAGTGGACATTTTGGGAAGTTTGGAGCTTTGAAATTGCTCTGCAGATCAACTGTCAACTGTGAACTGAATTCGTTGTTTGCTTGTGGAGCCTTAGAGCCTGCAATTTGCAATTGCTGTGTTCCTACTGGGAAAATTGACACCTCCCCCATCCTTTTTAAAAATAATATTAATTGAAGTCTGAACAGAAAATACCTCATGTGAAGGTCGAGATTAATGCTTTAGATCACCGATAAAGTCAAATTGTGTTCTGGGCATGGTCTAAGTCCAGAAGACACCAGCTTATGCTTAAGGCTATGTCTGGTTCTGGCTAGCTGAACCTGAAGAATTTTGTTAGGCAGTGAGCTACAGGGTAGTAGGTTCATTAGTATGAGCTAATGTGTTACAAGGGATATTATATTTGTGTCCAGATTTACTGTAAATTAGAGGGTAAATCAACTATACACTGTGTTCAGTAGGATTCATGCTTTTTAAAAGTGTTGGTTTACTGGCTTTGCAGCTGCTTGGTAAGAGCAGTACTTTGATGTGCCAACTGGGTTGCAAGGCATCTGGTGCTTCTGGACAAATCTTTGCCTACCACCTGGTCAAAACCTGCCCACCACTGAGTCAAAGATGTGTACAAGGAAGCCTCAGATGTATGGTAGCCTTTTGTGAAAATTGTTTTGCTGTGGCTGTCATTCTTTTCTCTCATTTGTCTCTTCCCCTCCCTCCCCCTCGAATTTCTTTCCTCCTTCGAATTGCTTTCCATTTCAGTTATTTATTGTATGAGCCAAGAACTGCAATGTATTTCTTAAATGTAATGCACCTAATGGTTCTATTTAATGAAGTGGGAGATCCACGAATGTTAGCCTGAGTGCTTAAGATTTTCTAGACAGTGCTAAGAATAACCTGTTATCCAGTGACTAAAAATGTATTTAACAATACTGGTTAGTTTTTTTGGTCAATGCAATCGTCAAGGTCTGATCACACAATTCTTACGGGCATAAGCCTTGGTCTCATTTGGTTTTCATATTCAGAAGTCAGATATGTATCACTAATTAAAACATAACAGACACTAAAATGCTGAAATTTAGAATGACCTCAGCAAACAGACTCTAAATGTCGGGGTGTGCTGACGTGTGTGTGTGTGTGTTTTGTTTTGCTGTTTTTCTCAACTTATCTTGGTTTCTTGGTTTACCTCAAATTTATTTTTAGGTAGAGATATTTCAATAATTTTAAGGCATCTGGTTTTTTTGTTTGTTTGTTTTTTCCTCCCCTCTCCAAGTATAGTATACTGTATAGTATATAGTATGTGAATCTGATGATAATGAAAGTGGTTGCAATAACCTAGAGCATCTTTTGCTGGGCCTTTTCAAAAAGGGCAAAGAAGCAAAAATATATCCCTGGTTCTTTAATGCACACACGTCCCCAAAGAGCAGCTGACACCTGTGAATAAATAGGCACCAGTCAGCCAAAGGTCAAATATTGTCTATTAAAATTTCAAGCTAAAACCCAATGTAGTAAACTGTTTGGGATGCACACTTACTAGCTTTTCTCCATAACTAATTCTTTGCCATACCAAAAGCAAACCACCCGCACTTATAATTACCAATTGTAGAGTTAATTAGCTTTGCAAGTGTAGCTTTGCTATTCACCTTGCCCTTGCTTAGCAGTTAATGGGCCAGAGGAGTATGGCAGCATATTTGGATTGTGCTCTCAAAAGGCACCACAAGGAGTTAAAAGGAACCTTATGCTGTCAGATGTGCTTACACCTTACACATTCAGATGTTCTTAATGTTTACTTAAAACTGACTGTTTTCAAGTTTTAAAAGATCAAGCTGCTGCTTTGTGTATCAGATGTTCAGTCTTTTTAGATACTTCAGCTTATAGGAACACCTCAAGAACTAAGGAATATAGTTTTCATGTGCAACTGTCTGCTGCTCTTCCCTTTTTTCCCAAAGGGGGGGGGGGGGGGGGAGGATTGTGTTTTTTTTTTAAAAAAAAAAAACTGCAAAATCATCCTCATGTCATTGCTAAAGACATGCTAGCTCCAGTATAGCCATTCTTTAGTTAGGACTTTGGGAATTCTCAGTGGTTTGTCAAGGTGTCTTGTATCTGTCAGCAACTGTTAAATGCTTTGAAGAAAACATGAGATATTCATAGTCAATAGTTGGCGAAAAATAAAAATTGCTTTCTGACTGTCTAATCAGAACATGAACCAGTCAGTAATTGAACTGTTGTATATAAGTGGTATGATCTGTGTAATTTGATTTTGGAAGCCAAATATAAAACATTGAATTATATTTTTTCCTATTAAAGTCTGGTATTTGTCCAGTGATAATGAATTCTATTGATTATTATGCAGTCTGTGAACACTTCTAAATTAAACAGTTTCCACTTAATGAATAATTTACTCTGTTCTCTTGTTTCTTACCATGTGAAATGATTTAATTAATTTATAGAGAAGAGAGATTGTTATTTCTTTCTATTTCATAAGCCTGGTGTTTTTTTTTTCTCCATGCTAAAGTATTTCTTGTGCTTCGGCATTGTTCAGACACTGGTACCTTACATTTTGCCTTCTTGAATGTTAACCAGCTTTTAGATTAGAGACAGATTTCATTTATATACTTCAATTTTGTTTGGAAATATATATCCATTTTCCTCTGAAAGGATTTTTTTCATTTTTGTTTTAATGGTTACCTGCATTGCATGCTTTCCCTTTGGTAAATGCTTATCTAGCTCCAGACTTTTAACATGCATTTCAGCTAAAATGAACTTTGTTCTTTAATTAGAGCAAAAAGTCTTTAAAACTGCCTATATTGAAACAATGTTGATTTGCCAGCATGTCAATTTGTGCTTAGAGCTTTTTTGAGGCATAGGTTTAGAATTTAACTAAATTAACGTGGCAGTATGGTCTGATAATATTGCTAATAAATTGAGAAATTGTAATGTCTGTACGTCTGTAGAAGTGATTTAGCTCTAAAGTTAACTGGGTTTTTATTTGTTTGTTTGCCTTTTTTTTTTTTTTTTCTCTTCCCCTCCTTCAGTCTTATGATAATGGCCTGGCACAAGGCGCTGGACTGGAATCTCATGGTAAGATTGTTAAAAAGTTCTACATCCCTTTTTAAGACTTGGGACTAAGTGAGAGCTGCTTTAGGAAGTCTAGAGTATGTCAAGTTTTTCCTTCTTTTCTGGATTTAAGGAAGCAGGATAAAGAGTAGCAAATCCAAAACATGCCTCAGAATGTGGTCTGTTCCAACTTAGTATCAGACCAGATGGGCTCTTAAGAATACATCGACTCCATTATTTTACCTTATTAATGTTTTTTTTTTGTTGTTGTTGAAAGGTGATGGCTGTAGTCCTCATCTCTTCCAAATAGAGCAATATATTTGTGCATGTACCATTGTAGCTCTGTGGATTTATCTGCAAGGGATCTTTTGCAATGCACTTGAGAATTTCCAGTTTCAGCAGATATCAGTAAAACCTAGAAGTTTCCTCTGTTAGATTGCATCATCCATTTGGGGCTCAAATCTTGAAGCTGCAGTTAATTTTTGCAAACAGGTGGAAACCAGGAAGATAAGAATTCCCAAGAAACTGATTTTTCAGCAAAGTATTTTTCTCTGTAGTGAGGTAATTGTCCTTTTCCTAACTGAGAAACTGTTGACACTTATATGACTGATATTAAATCTATGAAATGACTGCTAGCTTTATTGTTGTTATTGAACTTTTATATTATTCCAAATATGTTTTTCCTGCAGTTTGGGCAAAGTTGAAAAACTAGGCCAACAGTTTTTAGGCTAACAATGGATATTGGGCTTCAAGTCTTGAATCAACAGCTTGTTCTTTCCTGGACTGTAATTATGCAGTTACAGGTAATGGAGTAAGCTTTGGTGGGTTTTAAAAAGTGATGGCAATGATACACAGACTATGTGAGTTTCTCTTCTAATTCTAAAATTAACCTTGTGGTTTCCTTGATAGCAACAATAAAAATTCTTAGAAGTGTAATTTGTTTGTTACAGTTTTGGGAATCACACTTTTTTCATAGCATTGATCATGTCTTTATTTTTTTCTGACTTGGTTTCTGCTCATCAGACACTTATGAAAACATCAAATAGCAATTGTCTATACAAAAAAAGTCATTTCAGAAAAAATGGTTAGCAGTTGTGTTCATTGTAATGTTGCACATGAGAAGAAGGGAGAGTTGAGCACTATTTATTTTTTTTGGTGGAGGACTTCAGGTGAACACAAAGTTGATACACATGCTATTGTGGGAGTTAAGGATACGCAGCTACCAACAAGTAAGCATCAGACCAAGTTTTCAGATGTATTAGGTATACCTTTACTTTAGGAAGCTCTAGTCCAAATCCAATGCCTCCAGCTCTGAGTTTCTGTCAAAGGGGATTACTGATATCTATTTGTAAGCTGTTCCTAGCCTTTATTTCTGTAATGGCCTTAATGCATTGTAGTAGTCACTAAACCAATTGGAGGACAAAATTTGCTTGTTAAAATAAATATAGCTTAGCTGCAGCAATTGATCTGTCCAGTTACATAGCAATACTAATCGTCCCAAAAGATATATTGGAACATAATATGGGAGGAAAAAAATGGTTGGAATGAGAATGTCCTATCAACCAAAGCCAGAGTAATTTTCAGTAATTGCAGTTAGTAATGGGAAGAAAAATAAAATCTAATGGGAAGAAAAATAAAATCTATGTAGACTAGTGTAGTAGTCTGTAGAAAGTGGGGGGTAGGCGGGACTTTCCTTTATAAATTTCCTTCCTTTATCCTATGACCCCTGGTGATATATGGGGAAAGGTATAACACATTTTAACTAAAAGCTTTTGTGTATTATTTTTCTTCTCTGGGAGGCCTTTGGCATCTCTGTTTCAGTCTGAGTGCTGGCTTTCCATTAGTTTTCCTGGGTGAGTTGCACACAAAGAAATAACTTCTGTTGTGTTACCATTTACTCATTCCTGAACTGCTGTGTAATGTAAAAGGGGGCAGCACTAAGAGGCCCTCCAACTTTAAGGAAAATGAATTCAGGCTTCTTTGTGCAAGAGTGTTTTTTTTTGTTGTTGTTGTTTTGTTTTGTTTTTCTTTTTCTTTTTGATATATGTGCTGAGCTGAAAAGTGTTTTATTTGTTTGGATTTTAGACTTAAATGAACACTTTTGTAGTCTTTTAGAAATCCATTGATTTAATTATTATTACCTTAGTTAAATTCTGATTGGAATCATACAGGCTGTAGTGAAAATCTGGCTATCTTAAAGCATTGCATAAACAACTGTTTCCCCATAGGTGGCTCTACATTTTGTGGTATTGCGTCACTATGTTTGATGGGTAAATTAGAAGAAGTTTTTTCAGAAAAAGAACTCAACAGAATAAGAAGGTGGTGTATAATGAGACAACAGAATGGGTACCATGGGCGACCCAACAAACCTGTA